CATCCCAAATCGCTCACTGATCGCTGTTGGTTATCAATGATACGGTTGTTCCCTGTTCAGGTGCACAGTGACGACGTTTGGAGGGTGAGTGACAAGTTCACGCCGCAATGGCAGACGTCGAGCCACGCAAGCCTTATCCAGTGTCGGTGGCAGACAAAACGGCGATCCCAAGACGTCTTGGAAGGGCAGAAACGGACGGGTCTAGGCCCAAACCAGCAAACAGTAAGACAGGACCCTGAGGATCGGGCTGAAGGGGGGGCATCGCCTCAAGGATCCCTTTCTGCAGGCAGCAGCAATCGAAAGATGGGTGTGCCATCAAGGCCCCACGTCCTTCCATCGTCTTGGCACCGCTCCCCCGCGCCATGGTGCTGACAAGAAGGTCAAAACGGACCCAGCGCACCGCCACGCACCGCCTCAGATGCAACCCATCCATTACGGTATCATACGACGACGGGTTCCCTTGCTGAACAAGGTTTCGACGGTATCAGCTGCTCTAGGAAACGAGTCGGCCGGACAGCGGCAGACCAACTGCCCCGGACGCCATTCCCGGGCCCTTCTTCAGCTGCACCTACTGTCGACTGACATGATCGCGGAGTCATAGCCAGCAATGGTTGCTGACATGGCTACGGCTCACACGGCCGCTGCCTGCGGATCTGACGGGCTGACGGACTTCTCTCGGCGGCCGCGGGCTCAGCATGACAAACTGCTTTCTACACGCCCCCCCCCTCCTTGCCTCGTCGTGCAGCCATCAATTGGCGACAGAAGAGCAAACTGCACAAACCTAGTATGGTCATGGGTCGCAAGGGTGGACCTGTGTCGCGCGACGGGAGAGAGAGAGGGCGAGGGAGAAGTGAAATTGAGACTTGAGGGTTATACAGTACAGCGGTCCATCAATTACCGAGTGGCATTGATGAAGGACCTTGAAAGGGGGTTTCTACTGTAATTACGGCCAGTAGGAGGGCGAAACGCCAGGTTCACTCGCCCTGGTCCGTCAGGCTGGCTCAACACGACACGACGGGCCCATTGGGGCCCTGCAGACGTGGACCCGCAGGGTCAAGGCAAGAACGGAGCGCCCGAATAACTGGTAAAAACCTCGCATCCGTCGTCAGAATGAAGGGGATTTTAAATGGAGCGGTTCGGACGGACCTCCTGGAAACGGCCAAAAAAAGGGAGCATGATTGGGCACTTTCTCCCTTGTGGCCCTGCCTCGGTAGCAAATCAGAGGTATC